ACATTTGTCTAGTTTTATCAGATACAGAATTGTTCTTACTTGTTTTCAGTAAATATGCTACTGGCCTATTTGTTCATAAAGTACAAACAAATTCAGGTGCAAAAATGTTTCATACACAAACTTAATAAATGAGGCCTGTTGATCTCTTTGCAGTGGTACTGGTTAACAGGTGAGATGCATTGGACATTCAGTTTATCTGATTATTTTTCACATATGGCATTGTTAGTCCATGCTGATTTATTAAAAACAGACCAATCAAGTGGTTGGAAATCTGGCTGTAGCTTATTTTGTACTACTTCTATACATTTTGGCCGGGCACTTTTCAGAGGACAAGTAACTAGATCAATTAGTAACTAGATTAATTAGTAACTAGATTAATTAGGTGATTCAGATGAGTAGTAAGAATAATAATCACATTTTGCCACATAGAATTGTTTTTTATTTGTGTGTGTAATTTAACTTATGAAGCTGTGACAGCATATTTCACATTTATTGCTGTATTTTTTTTCTTATTAGCGTCAGATGGCTGCTTCATTTAGATTGAAGAATGTGTTCATTAAAATAAAAACAATTTTAGGATGTGGTTTTTATTTTTAATCAGTTTATATTTTTTCCCAAGTGAGCAAATTCCAGCCAAATGAGATCAAAACGTTTGTTTATTGAACAGAAAATTGGTGTAAAAGGTGTAAAAATGTGAAAAAACATCTGTTCACTTGTTTTATTGTATAAATGCTTTTTATGACATCAAAAATTGTAAATGATAACGTGGTGAGCATTATGCAATGAGGTTAAACGTGCAGACTTTAGACTGAACCCTTATATCGAGCTCTAACTCCTGAAATAAACATAGGGAGGAAGAATTACTCACAGGAAATTTGTACTGTCTTGGGTCAGACTGTGTCATGACTGCATGCAGGTTCTTGTTATTTGCGTCATATCTGACTATGTATCTGCCTCTCTCAGCTTTGTGTTTAAGAGCTTTGATTAGGTTGTCTTCTTTTTGCACTCATTCCTGCAGGAATATTTTCTGCTTTCTGTGGGTATTTAAAATTTTACCTCAAATGTAAAATCTTTGTATCCAGGTGAGGGTTTGGTCAAATAGTGCTGCTGCCAAAGATAATGTCACTCTTCTAACCTCTGACTTTCATCTACCATTTGCCACATTTACTGTCCACAAAAGGAAAAACCATGGAGTTATTTGCACGGTCAAAAATGAGTTAGGTAGGCCTCCATGCAGCCAAAACAAACAGCACCAAAAAGAATAGAGGTTACTGCGCTTCATCAGGCTCCATAAAGCTTAATTCTTCCAAGATTAACTCCAAAAAACCAATTACACTGTGCACACTTTTAAAAATTCAACAACTGCACATCCTAATTGGGCACAAGTGTAGAATACAGTTGGTTATGATCCCTGCTGACTGGATT